TTTTTTTAATTGAGACAAGGTCTCACTGTGTTGAGTTTGAGGCTGGCCCCAAACTTCTGGGCTCAGTCCTCCTGGCTTGGCCTCTCAAGCCAGGTTTTAGGATTATAGGCATGAGCCACTGTGCCTGGTCTATAGTTTCAAATATTAGCTGTGTTCCATTGTTTTAATTTTCTTCTTTACTGACTCCAGTTATGGTGGCGTTCTTATGACTGTCACCCATTTCAATGACTTTCTCTGATCTTACTTTTTACTTCATCTCATTTTTATTCTCTTGTATTATAGCTGCTTTGCTTCAATGTTATTCACTAACTTTTCATTGGAGTCTAGATTTTGGACACTTTATAATGTAAAATTAATTGCTGGTATGATTTTCTCATTTTCTTGTATTTTTTTCCCTGAGTTCAATTAAGTCTCACTTATTCCTGCTTTATTATCAATTTCTGTTCTTAGTTTATGCCACCACACCTGGCTAATTTTTAAATTTTCTATAGAAATGGGTTCTTGCTGTATTGCTCAGGCTGATATCAAACTCTTGGCCTTCAGTGATCCTTCTGCTTCACCCTCCCAAAGCTTTGGGATTACAGGCATGAGCCACTGTACCTGGCCAGTTTTTCTGTTTCTAATAAAAGGTGTTTTAATCTGATTCAAGTCATATCACCAATTGCTTGTTTGACTCTATGTAATTGAGTTCGGAGCATTGTGTTACAGTTTTCTTTAACTTTGTGATTGGGTTTTGGCTCTTATTTGCATTTTTGTCCTTCCCCCTTTTTATTTTTACATGTTTGTGTGAATATGGGCTGCTTTTTCCTGTTCTTTCTCATTTCATGGTCAAGGGTCACAAATGCTCTCTTCTGCCATTTCTTTCATTTTCTGTGTAATTTCTTTTTTTCGTTAATGATATTGGTAGTGGTTATGTGAAGGGAGGGTTTGGCATGTTTTGTTTCTCTCTCGTTTCTATAGAATTTTCCCTTATATTCTTTTTTCCTTCATTGCCACACCTTTAGGGGTTTCTACTTTTTAAAAACGTATTTGATTTTCTTCCAAAAGTAATGCTTCTCTGAGGATGCCACCTCTGGTCCTGCTCACTTTCCTTGTGTATCAAGTCCCAACCTGTGTTCAGGTTTCGACCCTTAGCGCTGGGCTTTCTCTTTTGGGGGTTGATTTTTTCTGTATTTCAGTGTTTCATCTAACTCCTCTGTACCTCTATGCTTTTTCATGGAGTCTTGTAAGCTCCCCTCTCTTGCTGTTTGCACCCACAGACTTGAAAGGGGTAGGCAACGGGAACTCTTGGAGCATGTCATATCAATGTCGTAGTATTTATTTTTTGTCTCCGATTAAATGCTGAAAGTATGGATCATGTGTAGCTTTAGTGCTCTCTTTATTCTTTTTATGTTTTGGAGGAAGTTTTGGGGAAGATTCAAAATCAGATTGTTGCCATCATCCTCTACCTGAGATAGTATATTTTAGATAATTTTTTTTCTGCAACACTCAAACAATAATGTTTATAAATAAATTTTAGTTGCTATGGGACATCAGTGTAAATGAAAATACTTTATACATTTCTTAAGTACTGTGTAAGTATCATCATGTTTTTTTAAGTTTAATTAAAAAAATCACTCAAAAATTCTTGGTGTTGTATAAATTATTTTTGCACACTTTGCAATCTATTCTTCTCCATTAGTTAAAATTTAAACAATATTTAAAAATTAGAGTTATGTTTCTAAAGTTTATCAGTGTTGGCAGTTCATTTTCGTTTTGTGAAGTATTCAGGATTTGGAGGCCTTTGGTTTGTTGGTTTGTTTTTTGGGTAACTTGATCAAAAGTGGTTTTTGTTATATCCAGTTAATATTATAGTGAACTCCATTAAGGCTGAAGTATTGGTGAGCATTTATTATTTGAGTCATCTTTATCATTCTTCATGCTTGGTTATATATTTGAAATCAAGACGAACTCATTTTTCCTTTATCAGATGCATACTTCTACTGGAGGAGGGTTCTGTGACTGTGGAGACATAGAAGCTTGGAAAACTGGCCCTTTCTGTGTAAATCATGAACCTGGAAGAGCAGGTACTATAAAAGAGGTAAGAATGTTATTTTGTTAAAAATAGTTACGTATTTTAAGTTTGCTGAGGTTAGATAAGAGTAAATGTATATGTATATGGATTCCAGTTAGAACCCTGATATTTTTATTCTCATATTTAGGTATAAGGAGGTTTTTTTTTCCCCCACTCCAGAGAAGTTAAGGATTGATAATATCTCTAAAGAGAGAATGAATTTACAATGAAAAGATGAATTCAGAATATGTTTGTTATGCAATCAACTTGATACATAAGAGTACACTGACCGGGTGCTGTGGCTCATGCTATAATCCCAGCACTTTAGGAGGCTGAAGCGAGTGGATCACCTGAGGTCAGGAATTCGAGACCAGCCTGGCCAACATGGTGAAACCCTGTATCTACTAAAAATCCAAAACTGAGCCAGATGTGGTGGCATACACCTGTAATCCCAGCTGCTTATGGAGCTAAGGCACAAGAATCAATTGAATCTAGGAGGTGGAGTTTGCAGTGAGCCAAGATCATGCCACTGCACTCCCTCCTGGGCAACAGAACAAGACTCTATCTCAAAAATAAAAATCATACACAACATAGAAGCCTAAATGAACAAAAGGAAGTAATTATTAATAGAAAAGAGCAGCATATAGTGAATTAGAAAAGAATTGAGCTGATACATAAATTCAGTAATTGTTTTCTTAAAGAAAATGTCAATTAAATAGATGTATCCCAATCAAGGAAATAAAAAAGTTTGAGCAAGCCCAGATATAGACAATTAGAAATGAGAATAGGGAAATAACCATGGAATGACAGATACAGAAGGAATCACAAGAATTGTAAAATACTCTTTTAATGACTTTGTGTAATTACACTTGAAAATGGATTATCTTATCAGATAGTATAGAGTGCAACATTTTTATTCAAAAGCAGAAAGAAAACTTGGTCAGTTTCACTGAAGAAGTTAAGAAAGTTGTCACAAGAAAGTACTTGCCCCAGAATGCCATGTTGGAATAGCTTTACAGGTGAATTATTTCACAGCTTCAAGGAATAGATAATTTGTGCTTTTTAAACTGTTGTGGATATCCCTAAAGCAGCGACACCTCTAGGGCACAGATGTTGATCTTTTATGTACCATTCCGCTCTTAAAGCAATGACACTTGTTGTCAGAATACCTGGTCCCAGGTCTGGGTCAGGGAATGTATAAGGCAAGTTCATGCAAAAGAATGTAGGACCCAACTTGAAAAGGTTCTCATTGACCTTACTTGGATAATTGAAGCATCAAAAGAAAAAACAATAAATAACCAATAAATTGAATCACACTGAATATACAAAAATCCATGAGTTCCTAATGAAACCTACATGAGAGCTACATGAGATAAAACCTGTCACAATGTCAAGTAGCTATATTGTCAATTTCTTACTATAAAAATTGGTTAAGGTAATGAAGTAAGCATTTATCCTGCCTTTTCAATAAGAACTGTATTTCTTAGTAACCAAGTATCTCTAATTCATTAAGAAAAGCTTTTCTTTCTAGAGAAATATGCTAGCTGTAGAACTAGAAAAGTCAACATTTTGTCAACCATAAAGAAATATTTGATTCAGACAAGGATGCTAAAATCCTTAAGACTTAGGTTGGTGAGGAACAATATTTATATACTTCTAAATTATTATTTGCTAGTCATAAGGGGAAAAAACCAAAACTTTACAATGGAGTTATCGTATTGTCATAACCTGAAATCCGTCATTGATGTTAGCATCATCATTAATAATGAAGTGATATGGCATAATAAGCTTTTTTTCATTCTTGTTTTCTTTCGAGACAGAGCCGCCCAGGCTGGAGTGCAGTGGCATGTTCTTGGCTCATTGTAACCTCTACCTCCTGGGTTCAAGCAATTCTCATGTCTTGCCTCTCTGAGTAGTTGGGATTACA